CCGGTTCATCTTCTCATTTCTTTTTTGCTAGTGATTTAGTACGTTGTTATGATGCTCCATGAATATAAAGGAACTTTCTAACTCAGCCATGCCAAGTGGTCTTTCCATCTACTCCTGAGTCTCCTGTTTTCTTCTTTAAGAGAAGGATTAAAATCACACGGGGCAGGTTACCAATTTGGGTACCCCCCTCATTCTTCACATAGGGATGGTTAATGGGGCCATGCAAATTCATGGTTACAGGACCCTTGTCTAAGCCTTGGGAGTTCCTCTTTCAGCTGTTAACTCCCCTTCTTCACTGGTTGTCCCTGATCTCTTCCTCCACTTCCAGCTCAGATCTCTGTTGTCTCTTCCCTCTGTCTCTCTGTTCCCCACCTCCTGTGTACTTTGATCAGTTTCCCACTATTTACCTGACTCTTCTGTCCCTGTCCCAGTCTATATTTATTTCCCTTCTGCCTAACCTGTGTCCAATATTATCTGCTCCCTTGGTTCCTTGATCAATTCCTCGCAAATCCATCCCATGTTCTCTCTTGGCTTACACATCTGTCTTCTGATCGCCACCTTCTCTCAGATCCGAGTCCCCTAGTCTCCTCTTTCTTTCTCCTATGTTCCCTTCTCTCTCCCTTCTTTCCTATCTATGTCCCCTGCTCTCTTAAATATCCTATTAAAAAAAAGTAGCCTCCTCATGTTCCCTCCTCTGCCATCTGTGTCCCTCTTCTTTATTGTCCCCCTCCAAGATCTCTCCTCCTTTCTCTTCTCTTTTTCCTCTTCCAACTGTGCCTCCTATCCTATATGGTCCTCCCTCTACCACAAGCGTTTTGATCACTAGGGCATTGTGGTGGTCCACCAAACTGGTGGCAGACCACGCCAGCACACATTTCTTTAAATGGACCAAAACTACCCACCACTATTCACATAGACAATTAATCCAAGAGCATCTCTGTAAGTGTGTATTTAACTTATTGTATGTCCTCAGTCTTAGTTGGGGCTAAAACTGGCACATGACATTTCAAAAGAAAATGAGAGGCATCTTGTTTGATAATTTTTCCTTCTTTCTTTGTTCATTCTGAATGCACCTTATTTACCCTACTATGTTTAGTGTGTATTTCTACTAAAGTGGCCACAAGGCAAGTTCAGTTTACCACATTATGCTTTTTATATCCATGTGTCACTGACCTGTCACCCGATAAAACATTAAAAACACGAATCAAAAGATTATAAAGGCAGTTTATATATTGTGTTAACATTTGAAATCAGGTCAGCAATTCACACAAGCTTCAGGGCAGAATAAAATCTTATCATATCGCGTGGGACCCACGAGACTGGCTGTTAAACCTTACTTTATATAATTACTGAAATGCTTTACTATTTCCTGTGAACTATTCACTTCACGACAAATGTGACAAGATAGGTTATTCACCAACGTGTGATTTTTTTCAGCAATTCAAAATGGATTCAAGTTGTTCAAATCGTAACCTAAAATATCCAAAGTAATTACATAGATGCAATTTTTGGGAGAATTTTTCAGTTTTTGGCTTATTTGGCCTACATTTTAAAATTACATTTGAATTCCCAACAATTCACAGTTTAGTAAGAGGGAGAAAGCATGTGAGAAATTTGTGGCCATTAAATTCACCTTTCTACGCAGACCCTTCTGACACACCGGTACACTATCCATAGTTTAATTGGGAGCCATGGTTAGCACTTCCTAGTCGTGAAGCACAGGAGTTGAGCAACAATGTTGGAAGTACTTATTGGCGTTCCAGGACGTTTCACTTTTCTGCCCCACCTGGTGACCAGAATACCTGTGCTTTTCAGGGTAGCTAGCCTAGTATGTCAGTTACCTTTAGATTGAGGGAACTTTTCTTTGTTATTAATAGCCGCACCTTTTTACGTCACCTCTCTATTACACTCATAGGAGTTGGCTCCCTTCTGCCTTTGTTTGGCATAGCCCAACTATCCCGATATCAGGGATGAGTACTTGGCCAGTACTTTAAATAATTCCCATTGTATCACTGCAGTCTTCCATCCCACCTGTATTTGACATCATTTACTGTATAAATACTCTGGTGTTCAATAAACCAGCTATCCTACACCTGCTTTAAATCTTGGCTTGTGTTGAGTATGAGTGTACTATCTAGTGTTGAGTATGAGTTTGCGAGAGCTAAATACACTTCATCCAGTGGTTGGTGGATAGTTGTGAGGTGCCAAAGAAGAAGCTCAGCCTGCAATACAATTTGTGCTGGGGTAACAGGTAGCTCCTGGAGGTCCCTGCCAGTACAGAGAAGGGACGGAAGCTGTAACATTAGTTCTTCATCCACAGTCACCGTTGGATCCTGTTACATACATATATATATATATATCATACTGGTGGTGGGCTGTGGTCAAGTCTATGGCAAATCCAAAATGGATTTTAACCCTTTTATGTATCTGTGTCTGTTATCTTTGGTTTGTAGGTTTATGGCAACTTATTTATTTTAAATATTTTTTATATGACTCAAATAATTCAATAAAGCAACCAATATATATGAGAGTCATGAATTTTGGAGTGTGACAACAGCTATGTCTTGTAAAATTCAGTTTTAAGTTTATATTCCCTTATTGTACCTTTTCAGTCTCTTGTTTTGGCATGATCACACTTTCTCATTTTAGTTTTATTCTAGTGGCTGTTGTTTCCCATCCAACATTACTAATAGACACATCATTATATTCCATAGCTTGAGTGTAACAGATTGGGTTACTCCAAAGAGTGTGACTCCAGGCCGTATAATGTCAATTCGGTGCATCTTTTATATCACAGAATGTCATTCATTGGCTGAGAGTGGTCAGTTAACACTCTTACAACTGCCACTTCCGACTTTGCGGACTCTGCAGAAGGTGGAAGTGCATCACTGGACCAACAGGGAGCATCGGAACCCAGCGGGGACCCAGGCAAGGAGTCAAACCATTGCGTTCACCCCAATACAAGGGCACTGGGTCAGAGTACTCCTCTAGTGGTTACGATTTAACTTGATTTGAGGCTGTATCTCAGTCTTACCGATGTTCTGGTTTATGTTTGGGTAAAAAGCGGCTATAGAACATAGTTCATAGAACCAAATCATTCTTCATCACACCACAAGTTTTTCTGGATATGGTTCAACTACATCAAGAACTAATGTTATTCTTCAGAGTTATATATGTATCTCGGCCCAAGGTTTTGGGTCTAGAATGGTATCACACAGCTCCTCATATTACCATGAGTTGCTGTTCGACTATATTTCTATTGCTGCACCTTTTGATATCTGGCCTTTCATGTTCCTGATATCTGCTCCATGTTTTTCTGCTCTGTTGTTTGTTTTCTGTTTGTTTTTTTGCTCATTGTTCACATTATCCTGTTATGTGGTTTAGTTCTGTCATTCCACTGTGTCATATATTGATTGTCATTATTTGTAAGCATTTGACAATATCCTTCTCTGTAGACACTAAGGCCTCGATTTAAAAAGCTTTCCAATGATTTATTTGTAGAGGTAATTTTCGTAGATAAATCATTTGGAATTTTTTCCAACAGTATTGAATCATTTGGAAAGCTTATTAATTCGAGGACTAAGTCAAAGCAAGATGTCATTATTACATTGGAAGATGGATGTCAGTATCCACACGGGAGTGATGTTACGTAATCATTCCATTTAGAATGAGGTGTTCATTAGACTTGGAGATTCATTTCGTTACGAACTGCAATTTATCTTAATTTGGGCCCATCAGGTGATCATTCAAATTCCCAAGCTCTAAGCCGAAATGTAGCCGAATCATGAATCAAATTAAATGTGCAAGTTTGTTTCGATTCGTGATTCTGAATTCCATTCATGATGCCGAAAAAAGTAAGAAAAACAATTGATGGGTAAAAAATCTGATTGACATTTAGGAGACAGCTACTAAATGTTGATATCAGTAACAGAAAAAACAAAAATCAGTAGCAGTAAGATAATTGTATAATATATAGTAGCTATAGATTTTTCACTCCTCTTTTTCCATTTATTGGTTAAATGTGTACTACAAAATATATCTATATATAAATATATTGATATTATGTATATATTTTGTAATAAAATGATTGTCTCATTTCCGTGTCTATTGGTTCGTCTGATTGATTTTCCCGAATCTATTTTCGTTAACAAAATTCTGGTGAGCCGAACCTCCATATGGCTGCAATTTGGCAGTCCTCCCAATGATGTTCTATTATCGTTCCATTGAGAAAAGGAAGTTCTAATTGATAGATAAAGAAAATCTAAACAATTGTGTAGACTATACTGTCACCCTACATGCTTTCAGTGTCTCTCCATCATATGCTGCTACATCACTTTACCATTTTTTTTTTTTAAGATACTTGTGTTAAACCTCAGGTCTGTGACTCTGTTAATAATACTGATTGATGCTTCACCACTGCCCATTGGCAAACATCAGCTAATCACTGCATTCTGCATCATCTTGTGCCGACGCTCACATCGTTAAGCTCTACAAGAATGACACAAGGACCAAACTATCTAACACTTCTTTTAAAATAAAATTACTACCCTTTCCTAGTTATAGCAGGCTAGTGTTCTGTGTTCATACTATTTGTGATTGTTTACTCTGCTGGTTTAATCAAGGCAAGCGTTCTCATAGTTCGTAATTCCGATGTGTCAAACCAGCTAGTTCTCCAGTGTTGTTGTCCCTCTGTACCCTACCCTCACTAATTATTTGGATTACACTCTGTTTAGAAAGTCCATTTTCTTTACATCTCCTCAGGGCTTTCTGTCCATGTCTTACTTTTCTATTTTTCTTTGCAGAATATATTCATCCCTCAGCAAAGATATTTGCTTAAATGTATTTATTTATTCTTCTACCATTTTCATACTTTTTTATTTGTTTTCTACATCTCGTAAAACAATGTCTCCAGTTGGCTTCCATCTTCTTTCCGTTAGTGAAAACCCCTCTTTTTCTCTCTCATTCCACCACCATATTCTCCCTTATTCTCCTCAATTCTCCCTGCCCCATTCACTTTTCTTATTTCACTCTCTTATTCACCTTTCTCTTTCTTTATCACTCTCCCTTTCTTTTGTTTTTGAATCAATCAGAGAACAAACCAAGTGGGTTCCATTAAACTTGCTTTTATTTCTGAACACAGTGGATTTCTCTGTCAGACATCACAGACTGCGTGTCACGGGAGAGGCATCTCTGGTGGGATGGCAAACACACACACAGGCCATGTGCCCACTACACCTGGCAAAGGCATCGCCCAGTCACAATGCAAAATGGCATAAAAATAATCAATACGTTAAAAAGAAGGGAAAAGGGGAGAGCGGTCATCCAGGGAAGGGGAGAAAGAGAGAATGCTCCAAGGGTCACCAGTTGTAGGAAGAATCATCAAACCTAGGAACAGAAAAAAACAGAAAGGCAAATAATTAAAGATGATATAAAGTTACTTTCATTATTAGGTAAAAGTTTCCTCTCTTCACTTGTTTGGGTCCAATGTTTCCTAAAGACAGTCTGCTTTGACCAGCTTGAATACTCCTGATCTAGCCCTCTAACCTGAGGTCTTGGGATTTAAGAGTATATTCAAAAACGTTCCATATGTCTAAAATATTTCTGGATGAAAACATTCGAGAATTATTCTCTCTCGGGATTACTATTGAAACTGGTCCAACTTGGCCAGTGTTGGGATGGAGTCTCTCCATTGTTTTTCCCGTGTTTGTATTCTGTTACATTTAATGCTAAATACACAAAGGCCTTGCCTTCTATTGAAGTCCCTTTCTGGTCTAATGAGAGACGAATTCTCTCACCAAGACTCTTAAATATAATTAGGACTTTGTGAATAAAACCATTGAATTTTGGTAGAAATCAGTCCTCCTAATTATTTTTGTAGACAGCATCCCAGCACTGAAACAGTTTATTCTTTATAATACCCATACCGTTAGTTTGTAAGAGTTTGTAAGAGTGTGTGAAGAGTGGATGAAATTTGCCGAGTTACTACTGAAGATTCCATTTTTATAAAAATGCTTACTGGAAACATTGTTGAGTTTGTGCATATGCCTACATTGTTTCCTACCTACTGGAAGTAAAAATAGCAGTATTTATCCTGATAAGAACTACAATGATAAACTCTCAGGCAATGGGGATTTGAAAATAAAAACCTTCTTTAACACAATTAAGACAAGGTATAATAACGGGTAAAGCCACCGTGATAGGCCACCGTTTGGGACAGTTTGTGTTTCTTCAGTTATGCCCAGGTGGGAAACCTTGTATCAATGGACTAAAGGCCATCAGCAATATAGAGAGTATAATAACATTAAGGGCTGACCAAAAACATGGTGCTTCTTAAAACTAAGGACGGGCTCTCTAGACTGACACGCAGAGCTCACTAATCCCTTTAATGCCATATTCTGCTAAATCATGCCATATGCCCCCAGTTTTTTACTCCTATCCCATATTCACGATTTAACGTTTAACAAGCAATTTCAACCTGCTTTTTTTTACTTTGTACCTTCCCAAACCCTCTGTCACCTCCTCCCAGCATATTTCTGTATCCAAGCACTTTCCCTATGACATCAACTTCATTGCTTGATTGCAGTCTAAACTGAGTGAGGCACGCACTACTAGTGGAATAATCACAGCAACTACTTTTTATATTTCTTTGTTTTATTTTTATTTATTTTTTGGGGACTATATTTTTTTTTTAAATTTGCTTTTGTGTTACAAGTGTGCTGTATTTAGAGTCAATTACTTTGTATTACATAGTAGCTGTTCACCCTATGTGAGCAAATTTATTTTGACCTAAAACCTATTTTATAAAGGACTGGAATCCTCGTTCCTTACCGTGATCTGCTATTGTGGTTCCCGCTGTCCCCATACAGAAGCTCAGAAAGAAGGTTGTCAGTTGGGCTGTCTCTCTTCCCATACCTGTTACAGAAATACCTGAACTTATTAATAATTAATATGAAGAATATAGGGATAATGAAGCATGGAGTAATAGGAAGAGTTGTATGGAGAGGCTATATGGAGTAATAGAAGCAGTTATAGTAAGAGGTTATATGGAGTAATAGGAGGAGTTATAGTAAGAGGTTATATGGAGTAATAGGAGGAGTTATAGGGAGAGGTTATATGGAGTAATACTAGGAGTTATAGAGAGAGGTTATATGGAGTAATAGGAGGAGTCTTAGGGAGAGGTTATATGGAGTAATACAGGAGGGAGCGCAGGAGAGAGTAAGCATATAACAGGGGAGCTATAGAGAGGCTATATGGCACAGTATGGAGGTGTAGAGCAGGAGGCTATATGGAGTAATTGGAGGAAGCTATAGGGAGAGGCTATGGAGTAATAGGAGGAGTTACAGGAAGAGGTTATTGGAGTAATAGGAGACAGAAAGAGAGTACAGGCTGGAGTAATAGGAGGAGTTATAGTGAGATGTTATATGGAGTAATAGGAGGAGTTATAGGGAGAGGTTATATGGAGTAATAGGAGGAGTTATAGAGAGAGGTTATATGGAGTAATAGGAGGAGTTATAGATAAAGGTTATATGGAGTAATAGGAGGAGTTATAGAGAAAGGTTATATGGAGTAATAGGAGGAGTTATAGGGAGATGTTATATGGAGTAATAGGAGGAGTTATAGAGAGAGGTTATATGGAGTAATAGGAGGAGTTATAGAGAGAGGTTATATGGAGTAATAGGAGGAGTTATAGAGAGAGGTTATATGGAGTAATAGGAGGAGTTATAGAGAGAGGTTATATGGAGTAATAGGAGGAGTTATAGGGAGAGGTTATATAGAGTAATAGGAGGAGTTATAGAGAGAGGTTATATTGAGTAATAGGAGGAGTTATAGAGAGAGGTTATATGGAGTAATAGGAGGAGTTATAGAGAGAGGTTATACGGAGTAATAGGAGGAGTTATAGAGAGAGGTTATATGGAGTAATAGGAGGAGTTATAGAGAGAGGTTATATGTAGTAATAGGAGGAGGTGTAGGGATAGGTTATATGGAGTAATAGGAGGAGTTATAGGGAGAGGTTATATGGAGTAATAGGAGGAGTTATAGAGAGAGGTTATATGGAGTAATAGGAGGGGTTATAGGGAGAGGTTATATGGAGTAATAGGAGGAGTTATAGAGAGAGGTTATATGGTGTAATAGGAGGAGTTCTAGGGAGAGATTACATGGAGTAATAGAAAGAGTTATAGGGAGTAATAGGATGAGTTATATGTAGTAATATGAGGAGTTATAGGGAGAGGTTATATGGAGTAATAGGAGGAGTTATAGAGAGAGGTTATATGGAGTAATAGGAGGAGTTATAGAGAGAGGTTATATGGAGCTCTAAGAGCTATGCATACTTATTAATATGGGGCAAGAGGAGGTATATTTAGTAATATGAGGTAAAAGAAGATACATTGATGGGTATTTATGTTTATGAGGTCTGAGTATATATGCTGCTGTTCACGGGGCAGTATGAGTCAGTGTAAAAGTTGTATATTAAGTTTTGCAAGGCGAAATAACAAGAGATTTACTCACCTTTGCCGTGTCACCAGATTAATGTAATGCCGAAGCGCTGTCAGGTATTTTGTCATCTCCTCTGGGGAAGCGTCATCTCCAGGGTTCTCTGGTTTTGGAGGATAACCTTCAACTATCGTCCCCAGACATACCAAAATGCAAATTCCAATGGCAACCATCATAGGCCACAGCTTTAAAGAGATAACCATCTAGGGGAACAAGAATTGAGGTTTGTGTGATGTCTTAATTGACAAATTATATAATTATTGTTGGGCGCAACGATCAATAAAACAGGTTCCCAACAAAACCCTGTCTCCCACATTTTGTAAACTCCCCTCTATGCTTGGGGGGTTTATTCAATAAACACCCAATTGTAGTGAATTGAAAACCAAATTGCAGAAGTTGAATTAAAAGAACTAATTTGGAAAATGTCCTCTTCTCAACTATAGCTGCATCTTGGCTATTTTAATTTACATTGTGTAATCATTTTTTTTTTATTTATTTAGTACAATGTGGTGTTCAGTAAATAAACTTCTTGAGTTCCGGCCTTTTATTTTTTATTTCTGTGTGTTATGAAGATTGCATGTTTTAGTTAACGAGACAGACACAATCAGTAAATGTCAGTTGTTATAAAAATATGGAGACGGACAATTTAATATTTTACAAGAACCATTCAAGCACTACAATTATTATAATATATGTTTTTTCAAATCATCATTATGGTAAACAGGGCCAAGCCATCGAACTGAATGGACACCATCTTCTAGAACTCCAGCCTAAGTGCCCAAAATCTATTGAATCCCGCTTCTGTGACATCACATCTCTTCACTGAACAAACTGTAGAGTTTGGGGCTGTTCCTAAGGAATTTACCATATTTGGAGGCCCCACCTTGCAACTTGCTCCATGGAGGCCCTACCTTGCAACTTGGAGGACTTAAGGGATCTTAAGATCATGAGATTCTGACTTGAAGTCCTAATGTGTTGAGTGCTGCCTATTTGTCCATTCATCTAACCCAGATTCAGAGATGATGGGTTCCTTGCTACATACGCAGTGCAAACCATGCTTTTACACAGGGCAGATATTCCCAGTGGACAAATGAGCAGTAACTCTGCACTTTTTAACCAGCATGGATAGAAACATGACTAGCTCATTTCCCTCCTGTGGGCTGTTGGTAACATCTCAGCCCACCTAATTTTCCTTTCAGAAAGTTGCTATGGGTTGTTGGCAATGAACTGTTTCTTCATACCAGATGTGAATACGTGAATGTTGGCTATTGCTTCCAGATTGTGGCATACATAGAAACACTGAATAGGACTAACACAGATGTCACCTTCTGTCCAAGGCTTATTGATGCCTGTGGGGAGCGAAGGCTAGTCTGTCTAGTTCAATCACACAAAAGAGCTACTGTAGCTCAAATTGCTAAAAAAGTTAATGTTTTCTATGGTAGAAAGTTATCAGAAAACACAGTGCATCGCAGTTTGTCCTGTATGGGGCTGCATAGCCGCAGACCGGTCATTGTGCCCGTGATGACTCTTGTTCACCACCAAAATCGCCTTCAAAGGGGACATGAGCAACAGAACTGGACCAATGGAATAAGGTTGCCTAGTCTGATCAATCACCTTGTCTTGCAGATCAGGAGGATGCCCGGGTGTTTACCTGGAGAAGAGATAGCAACAGGATGCACTATGAGAAGAAGGAAGGCTGACGGAGTCAGTTTTATGCTCTGGGCAATGTTTTGCTGGGAAACCTTGGGTCCTGGCATTCATGTGGATGTTACTTTGACACATACCACCTACATAGAGATTGTTGCACACCACGAACACCTCTTCATGGCAATGGTGTTTCCTGCTGGCAGTCTTTCAGCAGGATAGTGCACCCTGCCACACTACATACATTTTTTAGGAATGGTTTGAGGAACATGACAAAGAGTTAAAGGTGTTGCCTTGGCCTCTAACTTTCCCACATCTCAATCTGATTGAGAATTTATGGGATGTGCTAGAACAACAAGCCTGATCCATGGATGCCCCACCTTGCAACATGCAGCACTTAAGGGATCTGCTGCTAATGTCTTGGTGCCAGATACAACATGACACATTCAGAGGTCTTGTGGAGATGATGCCTCAACACATCAGAGCTGTTTTGGCAGCACGAAAGGGACCTACACCATATTAGGCGGGTGCTTTTAATGTTGTGGCTGATCAGTGTATATTACGTGATGTGCCTATCATGTTATCTAACTCAGTACTACAGAGATGGTTCCATAATTCATGCAATTATACTCGATAATGAACAGATAATAGTGCATGGTTTACCCATCGCAGTTGAAGCCCTAATATCCAGCTGAGGAATGTTTAGTATTAGTGTAGTGTGCGAGGTGATGTTTAGTGATAGTGTAGTGTGCAAGGTGAAGTTTAGTGAAAATGTAGTGTGCGAGGTGATGTTTAGTGATAATGTAGTGTACGAGATGATTAGTGATAATGTAGTGTGCGAGGTGATGTTTAGTGATAGTGTAGTGTGCGATGTGATGTTTAGTGATAATGTAGTTTGCGATGTGATGTTTAGTGATAATGTAGTGTATGAGATGATGTTTAGTGATGATGTAGTGTGTGAGGTGATGTTTAGTGATAGTATAGTGTGCAAGCTGATGATTAGTGATAGTATAGTGTGCGAGGTGAAGTTTAGTGATAATGTAATGTACGAGGTGATGATTAGTGTGAATGTAGTGTACGAGATGATGATTAGTGAAAGTATAGTGTGCGAGGTGAAGTTTAGTGATAATGTAATGTACGAGGTGATGTTTAGTGTGAATGTAGTGTACGAGATAATGTTTTGTGATAGTGTAGTGTACAAGTTGATGTTTAGGGATAATGTAGTGTACAAGGTGATGTTTAGTGATAGTATAGTGTGCAAGGTGATGTTTAGTGAAAATGTAGTGTATGAGCTGATGATTAGTGATAGTGTGCGAGCTGATAATTAGTGATAGTGTAGTGTGCAAGGTGATGTTTAGTGAGCGTGTAGTGTACAAGGTGATGTTTAGTGATAATGTAGTGTGCGAGCTGATGATTAATATTAGTGTAGTGTGCGAGGTGATGTTTAGTAATAATGTAGTGTACGAGGTGCTGTTTAGTGTGAATGTAGTGTACAAGGTGATGTTTAGTGATAGTGTAGTGTGCAAGGTAAAGTATAGTGATAATGCAGTGTATGAGATGATGTTTAGGGATAATATAGTGTACGAGGTGATGTTTAGTGATAGTGTAGTGTACGAGCTGATGATTAGTATTAGTGTAGTGTGCGAGGTGATGTTTAGTGATAATGTAGTGTACGATGTGATGTTTAGTGATAATGTAGTGTACGTGCTGATGATCAGTATTAGTGTAATGTGCGAGGTGATGTTTAGTGATAGTGTAGTGTGCAAGGTGAAGTTTAGTGATAATGTAATGTACGATGTGATGTTTAGTGATAATGTAGTACACTGTAGTATAGTGTAGTATAGTGTAGTACTCCCTACAGTATAATAACACTATCACTAAACATTACTCCCTACACTATAATAATACTATCACTAAACATTACTACCTGCACTATAATAACACTATCACGAAACATTACTCCCTACACTATAGTAACATTATTACTAAACATTACTCCCTACACTATAATAATACTATCACTAAACATTACTCCCTACACTATAATAACACTATCGCTAAACATTATTCCCTACACTATAATAATATCACTAAACATTACTCCCTACACTATAATAACACTATCGCTACATTATTCCCTATATAATAATAATACTATCACTAAACATTACTCCCTACATTATAATAATACTATCACTAAACATTACTCCCTACACTACAATAACATTATCATTAAACATCACTCTGCTCACTACACAACACTACACTTCACTATCACAAACTCTGAACCCTTATTTTAACTGGGTTATTTACAAAAGTCGTAAATCAAAGTAAAATCAAACTGAATTTTAAATGTAAGGCTAGAATAGCCAAACTTAAAGCTTAGCTCACTTAGAGAATTTTTCTAGTTCGACTAATTCAGCTTTAAACTTGAAATTTAATTTGAATTCACCTCGAATGCTCACTGTAGTGAACCGCCCTGTAACACTATCCTCTACACCAACCTTAACTTAAAAATACCATATAAATTTAAAGATACAACATAGTAAAAGCTTTTATTAGAGGGGAATTAATGCCATCTGTTTATGATGATTCCCGAAACCGTGCAATGGCAATAATGTTATGTATTCACTCTCTCAATTTTAAACTTTTCTCCAAATTAGCAAACTGAAAACCTAACAGAATTTAGACAATTCTGCAATTTTGGCCTAAAATTTCAAATTTGCTTTGAATTCTGGAAGAGCTACAGTTTATTATATAACCTTCACAGTGATCATCCCAGCACCTGGGGAAAATAAATTTTTCTTTAAACTTATAAGAAGTAAAATGTTTTAAAAAATTTGGTGCTGTAACGAAATTTCCCGAAGCTAGTAAGATAAAGAGAGGGACGAGGTTGAAGAATGGTGCTGTAACGAAACTTCCCAAAGCTAGTAAGATAAAAAGAGGGACGAGGTTGAAGAATTTTAGTTTCTGTTCTCTTTTTGTAAGTTATTCAAAGGACAACTGTCACCTCAAAAATAATATTAATATCGTACGTTTTTCATCAAGTATTGAAAGGAAAGATATATTTTTTAAATGAAGTATATGTAAAAAAAAATCGAAAAACTCATAGTTTCCTTTAGTATATGACAGGATCCTTCGGCCATATACATGCGCCTTGGCTAGGACACTATTTGAACACCGACAGTTAGTCTCTATGGTCTATCCATGTTTCTGTGCAGGGAGTGAAGCTAGAAAGACCATAGAGACTAACTGTCAGTGTTCAATCAGTGTCCGACCCAAGGTGTATGTATATGGCTGAAGAATCCTGTCATATACTAAAAGTGGGGATGAGATTTTCTCATTTTCTTACATATACTTATATAAAAAAAATTTTTTTTTAAACAGCTGCCCTTTAATTTAGATGGAGTTCTTTTGTTTAGGCTGACACGGACACAAATATCGAAACAAAACAAGAAATGTTCAGTTGGTATCCATGGTTATCTCTTTGCCTCAGAACTGTGCATGGTTTGTGTGATACAGGTGGATACAGGTGGATACAGGTGGAAGGTTGCTAGGTAGTGGAACCGATTTAACATAAGGAACTAAAATGGCGTTCCCCACTAAGTTGCAGAGAATAGTGTGATGTAATAACTAATATTTTTGAGTCTTTATTTTTCCTATGGTTCACTGGCTTCCTGCCATCCTCATGTAACAGGACCTTATTTTGTAGCAGAAATTTATCATCGAGCTTGTCATAAGGAGCATTTTATATATAGTTCTCATCACAGACTGTCTAATATGTACCAATTCTTTTGACAATACAAAGTCATGAGAGAGTTAAGGGAAGGCGTTCTATAGCTAAGGTATATGGAGTAATAGAAAGAGTTATAGGGAGAGGCTATATGGAGTAATAGGCGGAGTTTTAGTGAGAGGCTATATGGAGTAATAGGAGGAGTTATAGGGAGAGGTTATATGGAATAATAGGAGGAGTTATAGGGAGAGGTTATATGGAGTAATAGGAGGAGTTATAGAGAGAGGTTTATATGGAGTAATAGGAGGAGTTATAGAGAGAGGGTATATGGAGTAATAGGAGGAGTTATAAGGAGAAGTTATATGGAGTAATAGGAGGAGTTATAGAGAGAGGTTATATGGAGTAATAGAAAGAGTTATAGGGAGAGGCTATATGGAGTAATAGGAGGAGTTATAGTGAGAGGTTATATGGAATAATAGGAGGAGTTATAGGGAGAGGTTATATGGAGTAATAGGAGGAGTTATAGGGAGAGGTTATATGGAGTAATAGGAGGAGTTATAGAGAGAGGTTATATGGAGTAATAGGAGGAGTTATAGAGAGAGGGTATATGGAGTAATAGGAGGAGTTATAAGGAGAAGTTATATGGAGTAATAGGAGGAGTTATAGGGAGAGGTTATATGGAGTAATAGGAGGAGTTATAGAGAGAGGTTATATAGAGTAATAGGAGGAGTTATAGAGAGAGGGTATATGGAGTAATAGGAGGAGTTATAAGGAGAAGTTATATGGAGTAATAGGAGGAGTTATAGAGAGAGGTTATATGGAGTAATAGGAGGAGTTATAAGGAGAAGTTATATGGAGTAATAGGAGGAGTTATAGAGAGAGGTTATATAGAGTAACAGGAGGAGTTATATGGAGAGGTTATATGGAGTAATAGGAGGAGTTATAGAGAGAGGTTATATAGAGTAATAGAAAGAGTTATAGGGAGAGGTTATATGGAGTAATAGAAAGAGTTATAGGGAGAGGCTATATGGAGTAATAGGAGGAGTTATAGAGAGAGGTTATATGGAGTAATAGGAGGAGTTATAAGGAGAGGTTATATGGAGTAATAGGAGGAGTTATAGAGAGAGGTTATATGGAGTAATAGAATGAGTTATAGGGAGAGGTTATATGGAGTAATAGGGGGAGTTATAGGGAGAGGTTATATGGAGTGATAGGAGGAGTTATAGGGAGAGGTTATATGGAGTAATAGGAGGAGTTATAGGGAGATGTTATATGGAGTGATAGGAGAAGTTATAGGGAGAGGTTATATGGAGTGATAGCAGGAGTTATAGGGAGAGGTTATATGGAGTAATAGGAGGAGTTAGAGAGAGAGGTTATATAGAGTAATAGGAGGCGTTATAGGGAGAGGTTATATGGAGTAATAGGAGGAGTTATAGGTAGAGGTTATATGGTGTAATGGGAGGAGTTATAGGGAGAGGTTATATGGAGTAATAGGAGGAGTTATAGGGAAAGGTTATATGGAGTAATAGGAGGAGTTATAGGGAGAGGTTATATGGAGTGATAGGAGGAGTTATAGGGAGAGGTTATATGGAGTGATAGCAGGAGTTATAGGGAGAGGTTATATGGAGTAATAGGAAGAGTTATAGAGAGAGGTTATATGAAGTTATATGAGGAGTTATAGGGAGGTTATATGGAGTAATAGGAGGAGTTATAGAGACGTTATATGAAGTAATAGGAGGAGTTGTAGGGAGAGGTTATATGGAGTAATAGGAGGAGTTATAGGGAGAGGTTATATGGAGTAGTAGGAGGAGTTATAAAGAGAGGTTATATGGAGTAATATGAGGAGTTATAGAGAGAGGTTATATGGAGTAGTAGGAGGAGTTATAAAGAGAGGTTATATGGAGTAATATGAGGAGTTATAGAGAGAGGTTAGATGGAGTAATAGGAGGAGTTATAGAGAGAGGTTAGATGGAGTAATAGGAGGAGTTATAGAGAGAGGTTATATGTAGTAATAGAAGTTATAGGAAGATGTTATATGGAGTAATAGGCGGAGTTATAGCAAGAGTTTATATGGAGTAATAGCAGGAGTTATAGGGAGAGGTTATATGGAGTAAAAGGAGGAGTTATAGGGAGAGGTTATATAGAGTAAAAGACAGAGATATTGATAGCAATCATATGGAGTAACAGGGGGAGTTATGGGGAGATGTTATATTGAGCAATCAAAGGTGTTATATGGAGAGTTTATATGGCATAATATGAGGAGTTATAGGGAGAGGTAATATGGACTAAAATAAGTAAAGGTTATGAGAGAAATATTACAAAACGGATTTTAAAACATTTAGAACTTAAAATATAATTAAAACATTAATGAAGGTGGGATTGTGTAGTAGATGCTAATCTGCGGAGCTATATTGAACCATTGTAGAAGAGGCTATAAAATAAATGGAGCAGATCCGGTGAAAATGGAATACGTGCTCAATGCTTACATTTAATTTACTGTTAATGAACTATTATTTAAAATAACTTCTTTATCACAAAATATTTTCTTTAAACATTTCTCAAAATATTTCACTATGCGATGGCTTAGTAAAAGACTAAATATTTTTACTTTTTTAGAACAGCAATCTATATATGCTACACTTATTACAGCACATATACTTTCCAGAATAACAAAAAAAACAGTATATAGGTTGATTTAAAGTCGCTTAACCCTTTCAGTGCAAGTTATTCTGAGCCATTGCGCTGGCACACTAGGGGTTAATGGTGATAATGATGCATCGCATTTCTTAAGACATAGAATAGAATGTTGTAATAAATGAGAAAAGCAGGTGTAACATTAATGGTTATCACTATATGACATTATGATGGTACTCACTGTGTGCTGGCGGGAAGCGAAGGGATGTAGACAGATAGTAATGAAATCTTTTAAAGTACCCCTTGCTCTCTGGAAGGTGCTCAGAAGAATCTGCTTTGTGTTCTCTTGTCTTAGTGGGTTTATATCTCGTGTGATTACTCTAGATGGGAGCGAACTCCTCCTCCTTTTAAAACTTGCCTGCTTTGTCTCATATACCCAGACATTCACTCATCCCTGATTGATCAATGACTTGACTATTCCAAGCGCCCAGTGTGTGTATTGGGAGGGGGCATGCAAAGAAGAGGTAAAGGTGTGCGTGGGATGGGGAGTAAACTGCCTATTAACCTTCAGGAATCACAAAATAATCAGATTTTACATCTCAATTGTGTTTGTGGAGTATCTGGACTGCATTGTCAATTTTTTAATGCATGCTTTTAATGTTACATAATGCAGAAACCATTTTCATAATTTTTGTAACCTTCTCTTAATATTTGTACTCGATAATTGATCATAGTTATTATATGGACAATTCTAAGATAAGAAATATTTCAGTACTTACTTTTCAAGCCATTGGCTTTTTATAGTCTGATTGTAACTCCTCTTACTCCATATAACCTCTTTCTATAACTCCTCCTCTTACTCCATATAACTTCTCCCATTACTCCATATAACCTCTCTCTATAACTCCTCCTATTACTCCATATAACCTCTCTCTATAACTCTTCTATTACTCCATATAACCTCTCTCTATAACTCCTCCTATTACTCCATATAACCTCTCTCTGTAACTCCTCCTATTACTCCATATAACCTCTCCCTATAACTCCTCCTCTCCTCCATATAACCTCTCCCTATAACTCCTCCTATTACACCATATAACCTCTCCATATAACTCCTCCTATTACTCCATATAACCTCTCTCTATAACTCTTCCTATCACTCCATATAACCTCTCCCTATAACTCCTCCTATTACTCCATATAACCTCTCCCTATAACTTCTGCTATTACTCCATATAACCTCTCCCTATAACTCCTGCTATTACTCCATATAACCTCTCTCTATAACTCCTCCTATTACTCCTTATAACCTCTCTCTATAACTCCTCCTATTACTCCTTATAACCTCTCCCTATAACTCCTCCTATTACTCCATATAACCTCTCCCTATAACTCATACTATAACTCCATATAACCTCTCCCTATAACTCCTATTACTATATATAACCTCTCTATAAATCATCCTATTACTCCATGTAACCTCTCTCTATAACTCCTCCTATTACTCCATATAACCTCTCCCTATAACTCCTGCTATTACTCCATATAACCTCTCTCTAAAACTCTTCCTATCACTCCATATAACCTCTCCCTATAACTTCTGCTATTACTCCATATAACCTCTACCTATAATTCCTCCTACTACTCCATATAACCTCTCCCTATAACTCCTCCTATTACTCCATATAACCTCTCTCTATAACTCTTCCTCTCACTCCATATAACCTCTCCCTATAACTCCTCCTCTCACTCCATATAACCTCTCTCTATAACTCCTCCTATTACCCCTTATAACCTCTCCCTATAACTCCTCCTATTACTCCATATAACCTCTCCCTATAACTCATACTATAACTCCATATAACCTCTCCCTATAACTCCTATTACTATATATAACCTCTCTATAAATCATCCTATTACTCCATATAACCTCTCCCTATAACTCCTGCTATTACTCCATATAACCTCTCTCTAAAACTCTTCCTATCACTCCATATAACCTCTCCTTATAACTCCTCCTATTACTCCATATAACCTCTCCCTATAACTCCTCCTATTACCCCATATATCCTCTCCCTATAACTCCTCCTATTACTCCATATAACCTCTCCCTATAACTCCTCCTATTACCCCATATATCCTCTCCCTATAACTCCTCCTATTACTCCATATAACCTCTCCCTATAACTCCTTCTATTACTATATATAACGTCTCTATAACTCCTCCTATTACTCCATATAACCTATCACTGTAACTCCTCATCTTACTCCCTATATGTTCTCCTCGTATCTCTTTGTATTGCTTACTATATAAGCGAGTTAACCCAGCTGGACGGATGCCTCAGGATTAATCGGTTTTGTCCTCGGATATCAATTAGGTTATGCAGTAGGGTAGACTAATTAACAGTCTGGTAATGCTTACACAAGCAGAATACCATGTTGTTAAATAGTATGTTAAAACTTACATCGGTACTATATGTAACGTGCTGGCGGCTTGAACCAATGTGTACTAGCTTTTATATATTTAATGTTCCCTTTAGATCCAAAGTACACTTGTGTGTTTTAGTGTTTGTTCTAGAATTTAAAGGGACGCTATTGTCACCAGAACAACTACAGCTCATTGTATTTGTTTTGGTGAGTATAGTCAGTACCTGCAGGCTTTTTAGAGAAAACACTGTCCCTTCCGAGAAAAGGCAGTGTTTACATTACTGCCTAGGGCAGTGATGGCGAACCTATGGCACGCGTGCCACAGGTGGCACGCCGGGCCCTTTCTGTGGGCACGCGGCCACAGGTTCGCCATCACTGCAGAGTAGGCACCTGCCTGCCCGAAACGGCAGGCGCCTACTCTGCTTCCGGGTCGGGAGGCAGGGGGAGGGCAGCTCCCCTGTCCTCCCGCGCGATGCTGTGTGGAGTGTTGCCGCGCGTTACCATGGCAACGCTCCACACAGCATCGCGCAGGAGGACAGGGGAGCTGCTTACTGGAGCCCTCCCCCTGCAGTGCTTACCACCACCGGACCACCAGGGATCGCTGTCCCCCCCCCCCTACTTCATTAAAGGTAAGAAGGAGGGAGGGGGGGTATACTGACACAGCACCCATACCCCCCCAGCAGTAACCCTACCCCTACCCTCCCCAGCAGTAACCCCTACCCCCCTCAGCAGAACCCC